TTGAAACCGGTCCCTGGTACAAAAAAGGTTGGGGACCACTGCCATAGGGCACAGAGAGGTTACGGATGAGATGAGGTCACAAGGGTGCAATCCTATCCAGAGCCTCAGTCACCTTCCTATTCCAAACAGTGACTAAGAGCTCGGCTGGACTGCACATTAGATCTGCAGTTATAACCCTCAGCTTCTTCTGAAACCCATCTGGGCCCATTAGTTGATGGGGGCGGATCAATAATAGGTCCTGCCTCCCTGCAGGGGGGTGCACTTTTTAGAAACTCATTGCCACCAGACTGTGATCCAACCATGACAAGAGGACCAAGGACAGGTCCACCAATTCCAGGTCACATAGACACTGCTCCGACAAGAAGACCAAATTGGGTGCGTTACCACTATTACTAGTCGGGCTCTGGATGATCTGGGACAGGCCCATGGAAGTCATGGTTTCCATGAAATCTCGGACTACCTCTGCTGCCGACCCCAGAGAAGGCAGGTTGAAATCCCCCAGAATTATAAGACTGGAGAATTCTACCGCCAGCCCTGTGGTGAGGTCCAGGAGCCCAAGTAAGGAACTGCCACACAGCAGGGAGGCTGGTACAGCAGCAGCAATCCCACCTGATCCCTTGAGCCCAACCTAAGAAAAAGGGCCTCACAGCCGGACACTTGTGGAATAGTGCTTCTGGAGGCTACTAGAGATTCTCTGATAACAACAGCCACACCTTCTCCCAGGCCCTGAGGTTTAGACTCAATAACCCACTGGGCACATTTCTACAAGGGGAACGTCTGCCCCTGGGCCCAGCCAGGTCTCAGTTATATAACCAGATCAGCCTTCTCTTCGAGGATTAGATCGGCAATAAGGCTAGCCTTACTGCAGTCTGATCTGACATTTAAAAGCAGCAGTGTAAGACCAGAACCACCACAGATCTGCTGACCAGGAAAATGAGGTGAGTGCAAGGGGGCAGAACACGAGACTGGTACTAAACACCGAGGTCATGTTCCCCGTGCCTGCTCCCCACTTGTCTCCCATATCTCCCATTACCTGTATCTCCCTACCACTGAAATAGGACGCCCTTCTCTGCCTTCTCTGAGAACCATTCCATCCCGCATCCCCAACACTTTTCCTTAAAAGGGGGAGGGGAAAACCTGCTCCCAGTGACAGACTGTTGGCACTTGTCTCAGTGCCCTCAAATTCACACCACCCCTTCCTTATTGCTGCAGAGGGATCACATCCAGCCCCCACTTATCTCCCAACACACTCAGAATACATTCACTCAATGCATAAATGGCACCTTACCCAGTGGCTCTCACCCACAAAGCAGGGAGCCACTCCTCCAGCCCCAGGATCCCCCAAGCAGCCCTCCCAGGCATGGCCACAGAACACCCATAGGACTGCAGAAGAAAGACTAAAAAATAGCCAGAAAGGCCTGCTATCTGCATGGAGATTTAGCAGCTGTGTAATCCTACAATGTTTCATGAAGTTCACAGTTCCATGTTCCCACTCGTCAGTTTTAATGATGATGTGGATATAGTATAGAAACACAAATATATTCAGCAAAATTTTGTGCTTATAAAATTAGGGGAGATGCAAACAAAGTATGTAATAATTGGAGATGTTACATAGAATATTTTCTAGATGTTAGGCTGAAAGAACTATTTATCCAGTGATTATAATTTTTTCCATTTTACTTTTATTTTGACCAATAAAATGTATATCCTGTGCAGCATAGATGTTTAGTTATCAGAAGGACAGACCTATGGTACATGGAAAATAACAGATATTTCCAATGACTTGTAATTTCTTAGACTTCTATGTGTGCACCACAATAAAAGTCTGAAACAGTGTATTGTTATGGCTATTTAAGTTCTTATCTTTTTAACATGACCAAAAGCATTTTTATTTTATTTATATTTGTTACAGCTATGATTTGTGATCAAATATATTTTGTAGTAAACATAGATTAAAATATTTTAGTTCCTAGAATTATTTAGTAAGAACTTTTGAAAACTTTTTAAATATTAAGTATAATAGTAAAACAAAACAAAACAAATTTAATTCAAGGAAAAAAAATAAAACATTCAAAGAAAGAAAAAATAGAAAAAGATGTTTGAAACTTACTTACATTATTTTGTGCTCAAATATTGCAGAGAGATTTGCTTTTGATTACCTAGAGATCAAACTACTTCAACGTTGCTATTCTAGAATTAGACTTCTGGCAACCTAAATGAAGAATTCAACTATTCTTCAGCAATATAGTTTGGTCATTATCATTGTCATTGAAGTACAAAATCCAGCAGTTAGAGATGACATCAATCTTGCTCAAATAAAGATAGTCTTTGAGTTTTGGCTGAAACTGAGACCAGGATTGCTATTGCTAAGAAGTGCATTCAAAAGATGCAATGACTTGTGACAACATCACTTTGCAGCAGCAATCTAGGTGTGAAAGCAGTCTGGGTATATGCAAGCATGGGAAGGCCGAAGAAAGGTACATATTAATGCAGTAAGGCTGGAGAAAGGATGGAGGGTGGCATGCTTTTGTGCAAGTACAGGAACACTGTATACATTTGTAGTTATACCACAGGCTTTTTATAGTTTTATCTAAAAATAAGATTCTGATATATCTTTTGATAAATGAATGAATACATTTGGAATGAATGTATGGAATATTAAAATCTATGCATATTTATATAAGGTGGGTGGGTAGGTTCATTGATTGAACATTTTAGCCCCATTCTTTGATTATTGTAGATCTTTAATTGTTTCCCTCCTCAGTTTAACTTCTAAGATTTTACAGTTGCTTCATAATAGTCTCTGAAACCAAAAAACATTCTCTGTTTGAATTTTATACTGGGACAACGTGTAAAATTTATAAATACCATTTATTAAAAGTAAAAGAAATAAGTTACTTTTTCAGATTTTATAAGTAAACAGGTGTTCTGACCTAGGCTTCCCCAACAGCACAAAGCCGAGTCCTCGTCTTGATAAACCTCCTTTATTTGATTTACAATGAATTTCCTATCCAACAAAGTCCCGGCCAACAGTCTTTCAATATAGTTTCCAGTTACAAACCTTTATCAAACTTGGAGCGTGGCCAGGCCGATGTCTTTCAGACCCTGCAATACTTGGCAAGCATACTGGAAGGAACTAATTGTTCCCTGAAAAGTCTCAGTCCCCCTTCGCTCCTCTTTTATTCTCTAGGGGAGGGGCCATTCACTGTCCACCCATGGCTTTCCTTCCAAGTCAGCCTTTGTTCCTCAACTGTTGCCTTCGTCTGGCAACTCTGCATATGTGCACACTGGGAACAGACTCCAGCTCTTCTGCCTCGCTGATGTTTGACTCTGAAGGCAGCTGATAACTGTCAGACGGCCCTGGCCCCATCTCTGCCTCCGATGCAGATTACTCGTCAGAGCCTTCCCCAGACTCCAGGACTGGCCCATGTTCCTCCCCAATCTCCTCATTGTCCGAATCACTGTGGGTCACAACACTAGGTTAGAAATGGAAGAGTTGTTACATTCATAGATGTTACTAAACATTACAATCTTATCTAAATGAATATTTTAGGGAAATCACTTCATATATGTGGACGTTAATCACGTGACCAAATTGCTTGAAGAAACTGACTCAGTAAGTATATTAAAGCAAATAATAAGCATAAATCTTATTTCTATTTATTCCAGTATAATTTAAAGCTAATAATATATTCTGTATATATTGTACAGAGTGCTTAAAGAAATCCAGCAAATTCTTATTAGCTCTAGCATTATTGCAAATGCTGTAGTTGTTATGGGATTATGCTTGCATGGTAAGCAAAACAGTAACTTTGTCTTGCTTACTACTAAAACTGATTTATTTTCCTCAAAACTAAGCAGAAAGCCCAAGACATGCAAAGCAATGCTGATGACACATTGAATCTTCAGTGTTGCAAATATTAAATACTGTACATGTTCTCTTTTTGCTACTCTCATTCACTCTACTTTTTTAAAGAATATAGATGAACAAATCCAAGCATGTCAGAAGGTTGCGAAACACTATGAATATGGAGTTGTATCCTTTTCTCTTGTTTTGTTACATGCAAAAATAGAAACCAAAAATACTTCCATGAGCAGAAAAAAGCAAAAAAATATTTTATCTATTTTAAATTGATACATTTGTTTATTTACTAAATTAAATTGTAATATAATTATAATAATTATATTAATTAATTATATTGTAATCATTATATAAAATAAAAATATATGAATAAAAATTGGATTACTACTACTCTATATTTTTTTTAATCTATACCACACCGATCTGGCTGTTATGGGAATGATCCAAGTCAGTAGGATGTGTTAAGCCTTCAAACCAAAGCTGATCCATACTGTTGATAATCTTAGTTAATACTCTTTGATATTAACCCAAAAAGAGCCATCAACTTTATAAGCCAAAGCTCTTTATGGATGTTTCAGTGGGCTCCATGTTAACAATGCTGCCAACATCTTGTACATTACACAAATCTTCTTTTGAGATCTATTTCAGGATTTTTTTTGTTCAAATCCATGTGTAGGATCTCATTTAAAGTCTTCCTGGTCAAGCTTGGCATTCTATGGCTAAATGTCCAGAAAGTCACAGAAATTAAATTTCTCCCACTGGTAATATTGTCATTGTATCAATTCATTTGCAATATTGTATTTGTATATTCTCTCTTGTTTTACTAATGTCTGTGAAGTAGAAAGACTGATAATAATGCCAGGTCTTTCAGTTTCCTTGCTAGATCTTCAAGATCTATTACATGACTATAATTTCATTTGCTGTTTTACTTGTCCTGGTGTATATTAGCAATAAAAGATTGTGGATTGGATATGTCTTGACAGCTGGTATGTCACATTTCTAACCTATATTACCAAGCAGCAAATTTCACAGGCTGGTAGGTCCAGGCAGCACAGGTTTATTTCAGTTCTTCATTCTAATGAATTGCCAAGTACTGCAAATCTTGTATGTTGAAGGGCACAGCTGCATCCCCTCTGCCCTTCAGGGCTCTCCTTCTTCCTGTCTTCTGTTCTGCAATGTGTGTGTTTGTGAATACATGTAAGTATGTTTTCTACTGAAGGCTGTTTCAGAGGTACAGAATATTTTACGTATCTTACTTTTAGTAGCCTTTATCCATTGGGCTTTCTTTCTTTTCATGGAGAATTGTTTTCTTAATCAGTTCCTATCATGTATTGCCAAATTCCTTTAGTATGCTCCCATTGTTTTATGTATATTTCCCTTACAATCTTTATAAACTGTAAATCACTCTAATCCACAGTTGGCATTTTCAGACACATCATTGCAATTAGCATTACTCTGGATATTACCTTTTCAGCTCTCATTGTGAAGCTTTACACCAGAACATGACAGTCTTAGCTTTCCAGACATTTAACTCTTCTAAGTGGCCCAACCTGGCAGAAGATTGGCAGATATGAATAGTTTAAAATCTTTATTGCTGACAAGAATGTATATAAGAAATGATCTGCCCTGCATAGTGCAGTTGATGCTTTATGGTTCAGAGTTCTCTGGTAATAGCCATGGGAGGCAGCTGAATTATTTTATAAAACATGTCTTATGAGTCTGAGTAATGTTGCTATATATTCGGCTGAACACACAGTTTTATAAAACACCCTGGTCTATGGTCATTTCCCTCTTTTTGTTGTGTTTTACTCCTGTTTATTGTCAAAATCCTACTTGTTTTCTCTGTTCAGTTGCTTGCATTAATTGATAGATTATGATATAAATTTGATATGTAATAGTAATTTTAAATTCTTATGTTTTTTATAAAATCTACTTCTATATATTGTGTGTAGTGTAGAATAGAATAGGATTTACTTCTGCATACAGTGGAGCCTGGAGTCATGACTGTAATCCATTCCAGGATTTTGGAAACATGACTGTGCATGCACGGACAAAAATAACACCCAAAAATTGGCGCCGAAGGGAAAATTGTCGCAGAAAGCAAATCTTTCCACACCAATTTTGTTTGCTACCCTATTTTTGAATTGTGACCTGATTCAAAAATCGGGTGGATTTTTTGTTCGCCACCCGATTTGGTTGCAAACAGAAGCATTCGCGACCCGAGGTTCCACTGTATTTTATGTAGGACAGAATCTCATACATGTAGTTATTTTATAATTGGAAATGGGGAAACATCATACAATCTAGGATTATTTTGCTATTATATGACCAATGTGGCTATTTTGGGTAGCTGATATGTTCATTAGAGCTGTCTCTTCTAATCTGTCACGCCCCAAATATATTAGATTATGGTTTGCAATCCCCAGTAAGTGTATTTAATGGACTGCTGTCTGAGAGCAATGAGAATTGTTTCTAACTAATTTGGAAAGCACTAAATATATTTTAGAATTGAGATTCTATTCAGCTATTTTCATTAATTACTAAAATATTATTTGGAAAAAAGGGTGTTACTCTGAGACTTGAGATTAAGTAACTCTGAAAGATTTATCTTCTTTACTAATAGAATTCTGGCACACTTACTAACATTAAAATTGTTATTAATTTTACAACTAAAGTTTGGAATTTTGGTTTGTTTGTTTGTTTTTAATTTAAAATGTTATGCAAAATTTTGTTTTCTATCATTTTCCTTGATTGTTAATCATTATAAGCCTCTGAATGATTTAGCACAGATCTCTAAAATTTTAAACTTATGTGTGGAGAAAATTCAAGTGGACAATGTTTTTATAGAAATTACATGTGAAATTCTTAAATTGTATGGGTAAGTACTTAATTAATGTTTCTGTTTTATTCTGATATTAACTAGCCTTCTAGTTTTAGTGGCCAGAAATAATATACATTTATTTTTATTTTAGCAAAAGCACATGATTTCAACATTTAGATTGTTATTAGATATCGGGGAAAATATTCTCCACAAACTATGATTGTATTAAATAAACTGAGCAAAGATTATGTTACATTTCATTCAAAATTAATTGAAAGAGAAAATCCTCAGTTTATATATCATTCAGATATACATTTGCGGATTCAGTAAAATTAATGAAAAACTAAATAAAAAATAAATCAATAGAAAGTATTTCTAATATATAAGATCCCATACTTTTTATTAACTGTTGCCAGTATTTTAATAGCTTAACAGAATTCAATTAGCCCAGTATCAAATATTTAGGAACTCAGTCAAGTATTTCTGTTTATTGTCCTACATATCACACTTAAATAGCAATTGTGTGCTAGTTTTCCTAGAACACAACCAATCATTCTTAGTAAATATTATGGATCTTAGGAGATCTACTTATTAAAAGTGCTAAAGGTATTCTCAGTCTTGAATGATGTACCGAGACTATCCTTAAGTACCTTTAGGATTATGTTTCTGTTTTCTCTTTTGCTTATATTTAACTTTGCTGCCACACAGTGGGCATATACATATTCACTAATTATAATAATGCAGTTGTAAAATCTAAACATTTCATTGCTATTTCCTGAAGAGAAGAATGAACCGAAGCTTATTACTGCATGTTTTAAACAACTTAGTAGCATTAAAATATATTTTAATGTTTTTGTTCAGTGTTTTTATTCATCCCCAACAGAGTTGCTATACAGCTAGAGGATTGCACTATTTTAGAATATTAGACTAAGATTGGAAAAGCCCAGGGTCCAATTCATACTTATCTAAATCTCAAGCTACTCAGTGATGAAAAATGCCAACAGCTGCACAAATGCTTATCAGACTGCATGTATCCACATGCTGCATACTGTATATCAGAAGTCTCCAACCTATGGAACGCGGCCCAATACTAGGACATGGCCTATTGGCCACCACTTGAGTGCACACACAACTCTTATTTATGCAAGCATTACCAGCACTCATGGCCCCATTCGCACAAGCCTGCCCCTCCCACAAACCCATCCCACTCCAGACTGTCAATCCAGAAAGGTTGGGGATCTCTGCAGTATATGATTTAGACTCTGTTGAGAGTACTTGTAGAACCAGATTCATTTTTTTTAACATTAATTATTGTATATTGTAAACATGACTTCTTTTAATAATAAACAGAGTGGCAAATAGTCACTATTTGTTGGAAACACCTAGTCAGGCTGTAGGGACACTGCAAGTACAGAATTAACCTCAAGCCTTTGTGCAATTGCAAGAGTTCCAGAACGGACACCCCCACACACACCTTAAGCTCATTAGACCCTTATTTATATGTTCTCAGGCTAAGATTGGCAATCTGGAGAGATTTCTGTATAATAGGCAAAATATAATGAAGTAGTGAGCTTGAACCTTACCCATATAGGTCTGGTTATATGAACCTGACTCTATTTAAATAATAATACATTTGTTTCATCTCAAGTATTAATAACAGTGCACAATCTTGATTGGTGTATTATTTAAGTTTATTTATTTAGGCAAAATAATTTATTTCTATTTTACTTTTCTATTTAATACAGCATTAACATGATATTCAAATGTATAATCCATATATATTTGGCAGATCTACAAAATATTAAAGTGAAAACAGTTTTTATCTTTTCATAAAAATTGTAATCAATATTCAAGTGTTTATCATTATTTCTCTCATGCTTTTTAAAATGCATCTGTAATAATTGATACATTTAATTCTGCAGGTTACCATTTTACAAAAAGAAGTTATCTGATGAAGGAAAGTATGCTAAAGAAGTTCAAGAATCAATTGCACAATTTGGTAATATTAGATGTAAACATACTTACCTTCCTTATATAACAACTTCGACTTATGACCACAATTTGTTACATTTATAATTTGACGCACTGGGGTGATTGGACAAATTATTTGAGTTTGGTTTTTTTTTGCAATATTACTGAGTGAATCATTGCAATATTAAGAAAATCCATATTTATTAAACAAATGCAGTGCTTTTAATTCAAACCCATTCTTCTGAATTATGCTTTTTGCCAGAAATTGACAAAAAATGCTGGAAACTGGCAAAAAAAAACCTTCATGAATTTTGTTCATATGACCATGGGACACTGCAACCAGTTATAAAGATGAGCTAGTTGTTATTCTAATTAAAAGCAGGGTGATGGCATTTTACAACAGCCAGAAAAGCTTTTTGGGATGTATTGCACCTATTTGGAGCCCATCATATTTGGAATGACTGTTAAGTTATCAATGATAAATTGAGGACCATTCATCTTCCCCCCCAAAAAATAAATTGCATTCCTCAAATTATTAAGAAATAATAATAATGAGCTATGCTAACTGATATCAATGGAGTAGTAAATCATCTCATCGAGGAAGTACCAAATTGGAAATAACAGTAATAAGAGTAGAATTTGCTTCTATTTAGGATTATTTCATATTTTCAAATCAGTACTGATGATTAAAAAGTGGAGAAGAGATTTAAAAAAGAAAGTTCCATTGATATACAGATAGTCCTTGATTTACAACCACAATAAAGCCCAGAATTTCTATTGCTAAGCATCAGAGCTATTAATTGACCATGCCCTATTTTATGATTTTTTTTACAATGGTTATTAAACAAATCACTACTGTTGTTAACTGAATCATGCAGTTGTTAAGGTAATCTGTTCTCCCCCATTAACTTTGCTTGTCAGAAATTTCCTACTAGGAAGATTGCAAATGATAATTCCAGAACCCTCAGACGCTGCAACCATCATTAATATATGCCAGTTGCCAAGCACCTGGACTTTTATCATATGACTAAAAATTATAACCATTGGGCTAATAACTATTTAAAATTACAATGGCACTGAAAAAAGTGACTTATGGCTACTTCTCATGCTTATGACCATGGTCATAAGCATGAGAAGTAGC